ATGGATTGTCCAGACAGAACTCAAACTTGCAGTCCTCCTGCCCTTTGTACCTGTTTCTGAACTGAACAAAACTCAAGAAATTGCTGCCCACAAATGCACAAATTATAATAGTACAATATGGTTTCTAACCCAAGCCTTTCTGTCTCTTATACTTTACTTACAATCTATAATCAAGACAACTAAGATTTATTGAACTGTTACAAATAGACCACACCTCCCTAGGCACTTTATGTAAACTAATTTGATGGCTAATAGTCTAAGCTAAATGAAAGAGAGTCACCCTCAAACTGTAAGGCAAAAGCTGCATTTACTAATATTGCAACCCAGATTCCAACAAAGTTTTACAAATTAATCCACCAGAGATGGCCAGGGAATAGCCTATCAAGCCCCTGGAGATGAAAATGTCCCTGGTTCTTGGGATGAGTGCCTCTTTCTATTTATCAGAAGTGCATAGAAAAGCAACATAGTTTGTATTACAAAACGTTCAGTTTCAAAAGAGTATCTTCATACAGCAAATATTCAAGCTCTTTGGAATCCACCAAATAAAAATTTTGAATTTACCATAGCCATGATAGAACATAAAAACATGGTGATCAATGAATCTCTTTGTGGTGGGCAGCTTTTCAGAAGTGTTTGGTTAAATCTTCATTTACTTATTATTATCAGAGATTTTGTTTTTGATTTTTTGTTGTTTTTTTTCAGTGTGTGTGTGTGTGTGTGTGTATGTGTGTGTGTGTGTGGTGCTACGGGTAGCATGAGGTTCTGGTTGACAGTGATAACACCGGACTGTTAGTTTGTGTTTAAGAAGATTCTACATGACAAAAGTATTATTGCATGTGACAAAAATAAGAATTAGGAGCTGTTGAGGTATGGCTCAGTGGTATAGCATGTGCTTAGCATGCACGAGCCTCCTGGGTTCAATCTCCAGCACATCAGAAATAAAGAGCTTAAGGAATGGATTTAAATTTTAATAAGAATGTAGACACAGCAACTTGGTCTTGCCTTTTCTTATCTTTTCTGATGTTTGTTTTGTTGACATAAAGCTCCCCATCAGACCATTTCAAATTGCTCCTGGATGGAACTTATCCTCCCTTATTTTATTTTCCAATTGCTATTGTAACAAATCACCACAGACTCTGGTTTAAAACAACACAAATTTATTATGCTACCGTTCAGTGATTCTTTTGGAAGCTCCAAGAGAAATCTATTTCCTTTGAGTTTTCTAGCTTGCAGAAGTTACACACATTCTTTGGCTTCTGGTCCTTTCTCTGTCTTCCAAGCCAGCAAACAAGAGAAGCTCTTGAAATGTTTTTCTCTCTGTTGCTCAGCTTCGGTCATTTCTCAACTTCCATCTCACTTAGACTTCACTTGCATAAGGACCCCTGTGATTACATCAGGCTACCTGGATAATCCATGGTAAACTCCTGTCTTCAAGTTCCTTAACCTGATCATTCTGTAAAGTCCCTCTGCCATCTCAGGGTACACTCCCAAGTTTTGAAGATGAAGGTATGCATACAATTGGGGGAGGGCTGTTACTCAACTCTTCCACACACCAGAGAGAGAATGGGGTCCCTTTTCTGTCTCCGTGGATATCGAACAGTGCTGAAACAAGCGATTCTGCATCTTGGCTAGGAAGGCTTTTAAAATCCTAATGCCCCAGACCAGTTACATCAGATTTGCATGGTTGTCATAGGCATTGTTTATTTATTTACCTTTTTAACTTTCCAATGTGCAACCATGATTGAGAACTACTCGTTTAGATGCCTCCTTTTGGTAGAGGTCCTACTGCCAGGAAACACTAATGCCTCGGTTTCACTAAATTCACTTTAAATTTTATTGAGAGACAAGTGAAAATATCTAAGAGAATATGTATTTCAGTGACTTAAAATTTGTTGCTCTAGATTAGCCATAATGGTACTATAATCCAAATGACAAGATAAAGACAACTCATTCCCTAAATATCAAGTTCATGCACTACTGATTTATTTGTCTGCCAGTGAATTTTGTATTTCCTGAATGTGTAAGGTAAAAGCACTTCTATTACGAATTTTTAGTATAACAATATATATTCTACTCACACTATGTATAGTTTTAACAGTAAATCAATGACACTGAATATAAAACAATCTTCTGAAATTTGTTTAACATGAATTAGGGAATTTGGAAAGCACTGCCTATGCACTAAACTACTATATTGCATAGGGCAATTTCATAGTTAGGGCCAAGAAATAAAGTATTTGAAATTAAAACTGCATCTACTCTAAAAAGTAGACCTTGTTCTAGTTTGTTATGTTAGATTCCTGGTAACTACTTATACAATGGCAATATTTATTGATACTAAATGCCAATATAATAAATCAACACCATATAATTATAACAAATTGCTCAACTCTGTCGTGTCTCAGGATAAAGAAACCTATTCATTCAAATTTTTAGCAAACACTAAAATCAATTTTGAAAAATCCCACATACAGAATGTATTAAATCAATGCATATCTAACTAATAGCTACTACCCAGCATTTTAAATAAATTATCTCATTTAATTATTCCTCATGACTGCTTGATATAAGTAAAATAATACTCCAGTTTACAGATAAAAAAACTGAATATGAGAAAAATTTAATAACTCTATGAAAATCAAGCAGTTCATAATGGGCAGAGCCAGGAAGCAAGTAAATGTAGTTCATAATTCCCTTCAACCACTTTGGCCCAACCAAGCGGATGTTTAAACTACCTGTAAGATGCTTTGTTCTCAGAGTTATAAGAATTATAAACCAGAGTGAGAGAGAACAAACACAGGCCAAAGCTTTGCAGTCAAGTTGGTACGTAGGACATACAGGATTAGAATGAGAGATTTTGCTCCAAAGGAGATATCTTCAAGAGGTTTCCCTCTTTTGTCAGAATTACGTGATGCACTTGTTTAATCCGTTCACAGCATGATATTGATTCCTGTTTGTAGGTGTCCCAATCTGAAAATCCTGATCTCTAGGAATTAAACTAATTTATTCAATTTTATTATGAGCCTATAAACAAAAGAATTAATTTTATTTTAATGAGGCAGTGTTTCTCAAATTTATCCTCAAGTTGCAAGAATTAAATTCTCTGCTTGTTAAAAATATGGCTTCTAGATCCCATTTTACTTCATGGTGAATTTGATTTGATTTTTTATTTTATTTTTATTTTTTGCTGTACTGGAGACCAGAACCTTCTCACTCAGCTACATTCCCACTCCTTTTTCACTTTTTTATTTTTGAGACACAATTTCACCAAGTCTCTAAATTGCCCAGGCTGAGCTTGAAGTTGTGATCCTTGTGCCTCAGTCTCCAGAATGGGAATCTACCTTTTTGGACAATCATCAGGTTACTTGTGGTAAAAATGGCAGACGGTAAAGCTTCAGAGGGTGGGAAATGAGAATGATTTACTTCCTTTCTATTCTTCTCTATCCCCATTTGCTCATGTGAATTTCTGTCTGCCCCTCTCACCACTCACCAAACATTAGCGAGTTTCTCTGTGGAGTCACCACGCCGACCTGGGCTAAGTGACTACTGTCCCTTACTTGGAGGTCTCTGGCTACATCACCCCCGTTCTTGCATATTACAGAAGTCCTGTGATAAAGAGATGTGTTAGATATTGTTAGACTCAGCATTCTCTAGATATATTTACCCATGTAATAAAGATAAATATATATTTAGTAGTATTGTCTAATAGTATGAATATATCAATATATATATATCATAAAATATATTTATATATAGTCTTTCTATGTAATATAATGTGTAGTATATATGCATATATTTTCAAATGCTATCCTGGAGAATACTTTTAGGAAAAAAAACTGATAATAACTATTTGATATTAAAATGCAATTCATGGTTGGTGAGATTTGCTGGCAATCCATTCATTACCATATCAGAACCACTACAAAAACATATAGTGCACAGTGAAAGCGATAAAGGACTCCCTATTTCAACTATCAGTCTTCTTTCCAAGAAATATATCTGCTTTTTTCCCATATTTCTCCATGTTTTATATGCATATAAGTATATACAAACTATGTAGAGAAATAAACATGTCTAATATGCAATTTTGTTATAATAGATGTGTATAATTTTATAAATATGAAACTTTAAAAATTCACTTCTACAACAGTGAATATATTAAATATATTGCCACAGGTTTCTGAAATACCCCTGAAATAAGGCATAAAGCTTTGTGATAATTTTCATAATTTTTAGCATACAATTGCTATAAACTATGTGACCAGTTTTATATAGCTCAATCTTAACATGGATTCAAATTAATGGACTGCTTGCCCAACCATGTGAGTACGCTTAGTTAGCACTGTCTTGGCCTATTATTATATAAATGTTTATTCTCATGTGTTAACTATAAGGATACAGCTGGGTGTGGTGGTGCACTCCTGCAATCCCAACACTCAGAAGGTTGAGACAGGAGGTTTGCTGCAAGTTTGAGGCCAGCCTGTGCTACAAAGTGAGTTCAAAACCAGCCTGAATTGTATAGTGAAACCCTGTCTACAAAAGAAAAAAAACCTATAAGGATCACAATTTTTATAACTAGCTTCTATATAATCATACTTTTGCAGAGTTAACTTTCTTTAAATATATTGCAGGAAATTATGATAAAAGGAATCCATGTATAAATTATATTTTACATCTGAGAATCCTATAATAAATAAATAATTTCACCCTACTTCAGAAATCTGAGTAACCCTACTTTTGTTAATCACACATGGGACTTATAGAGACAACCACTGAAGAACAGCATAACAGAACTTAGTCTCACATGACTTATACCTTTTTCATCATCAATGGAAAGGTAAAGCTAAATCTTACACAAACGAGAATAGTTTCTTTCCCCTGTATTTCCCAAGATAAGTAAGTGGAAAATAGGTTTAGTTTATACAGAATCATTATTTGGAAAAAAAATTGCATTTAAAACAAAATATTTATTTGACAATTCACTATCATTACGTTTATAGATGGTACATTGGCAGTGGGCAGCAGCAGAGTGAGTGAAAAATGGGGAGATGTCGGTCAGACGATATAAATATCCAGTGACAAGATGGGCATATGCCACAGGTCTACAGAGCACAGCTGGTGATGAAGGTATTAATTTACTGCAGTAATCATTACAGAATGTAACAAAATCATCGCATATATGGCTACTGAATGTATATCATGCTTTATATTGAATGTACATCATGCTTTACACCTTCAGTATATTCAACTTTTGCCTGTTAAATATGTTAAAATAAAAATATAAAATATTTTTATAGTGTTTTGTAAAATAAGTTTGTATATTTGGTAAAATTGCTCAGGTAATGAAGAAACTGCAAGTGAAATCTCCCTCTTCAGATCCACCCCTGAGCACTCCTGCTCCCAGAGGTCATAGTGCCTGGCGTTTACCTTTCTGAAAAAAATCAATCATATATCAAATCTATGTGTGCATCTTATTGTTCCCCAAATATGATTGTGCCGTGCACATTATTCTGAACTTTGTGTTTTGAACTGAATAATATATGTTAGAACATATTGGCATATTCCGACTTCTTTCACTGTTTACCAAAAACATGGTATTCTTCTTTATGACTTCACCATCCTTTTACTTAGCCTCTGGGGCCATTTAGGCTGTGTCTTGCTAATGTAAAGAATTCCTCAATGAACATTCTTACACTTTACCATGACACAGTTTTGCAAGACTATCAATGATATAAATTTATACAAATGTCATTACTCAAATGGATTAAGGGGCTCCACATATCTAGAAGCAAGAGCTCTCTCACACTGGTAGTGGAAGTGCAAATTGATGCACATTTCTAGAAATGGAACTTGATCGTGTCTTCACTAAATCTGAAATTTATATACAATTTTATCCAGAAATTTTGCCCTCAAAAATTGATCCTATCCATACAGAGGCTTATTTCTTATGGGTACATATGTAACTATAAGATTAAGAATATTAGAACAGAAAACAGAATGTAGAAAATATATTTTGCATTCTGTGGTTTCAGGAGATTAAGGTAGTGATGAGGTGTCCAACAGAGAAATTCTACATTAGTTGCTCCTATGTTAAAAGGGATCAACAATTAAGCACATCCTTTTCCTCTCAAGTCTGCCTCACTGGTCATGGTGACTACCTTGGTGTCTCTTTGCTGTGTCTATCCTTGTTTTGTTAGGTTTTTGTCAGAAATGTAGCTCTGTAGGTTTCATGTTCTAGGAATACTTTTTCTGGGGCATGGTTCCACTCAATATGGTTGGGAGCAGGACAGAAAAGGGGAGTAATCAGGGAGCTAAGCCTTGGGAAAGCGGATCAGTGGTGTGGTATCATCCTTTACGGGACAGTAACTGGAAAACTCTTTGTTTTTTCCTATTGCCATAAAACCTCCTTACATCAAATGTATGGGGTTTTCCTTGGCCTTAAGCAATGCCAACTCTTTCAATACTGACAAGATGTCCCACAATTCAAGTGTGACACTAATCACTAGGAGTCAGCACAGATTCCATACAATAAGGGCTCACTCTGCCCCTCCACTCTGATGTCAATCCTCTACTTCTGACCAACCATCTGTAAGGTGGTAATTCCCACAGCTCCCTCTTCAAATTTGATAGTTTAATCATTCACAAACTCTGATTAGCTTTGGCCTATGTATGTAGCTTATTATAAATGATATCACAAAGATACAGATGGATAGCCCAATCGAGACATGGAATCTGAAGGGTACTGGGTGTGCAAGCTTCTGTTCCCAGGGAGCAAGGGTGTGCAACACTCCTGGCACGTGAATGCGTTCGAGGCATGGCCGGTTATTGACTCATTCTCCAGCCCCTCTTCCCCCTGTAGGCTCAGGGGTGATAAGACTGAGAGTCTGAAGCTTCTAATCATGGCTTGGGCTTTGTAGTGACCTGCATCATCCTGAAGCTCTCCAGAAGTCCACCAAGAGTCACCTTGTCAGAATGAAGGAGGTTTCTCCCACCTAGGAAATTCCTAGGGCTTCAGGAAATCCATGTCAGGAGTACAGACCAAATATTAGACAGTAGATGTCCTTAGCACCTCTATTACTCAGAAAACAACAAGCATCTTAGAAGCTCCCTGCTGGGAGCTGAGGATGAAGACAAAATATGTTTTTTTTTTTACTATGTCATAAATGGGTATGAGAAAAGAGTAGGAGTCATTGACCAAGACAGACCCTGAACTTCAGTGAATCATTACAAAAGCAAAGCCTCTACCACTCATAGGATTGTACACACAATGTTCTAGTCAGAAACAAACAATCATAATGCATCATTTTTCTGTTCAAAAAGTTAGCAGAGTATATTTTTCGTAGTAATATTTAATGTTATTGAGATTTAATTAAAGTGGGTGTTGGTTTGGTGGTACTGGGGGAGAAGAGACCTGTGAAAGCACAACTGACTGTCAACACTTAAAAAAATTCAAAACATTTGGGCTCCATAAACCCACTTCTTGGAACTTAGCGTGATAGCACTGTCCAAAAGAGGGAAGTTACTGTAATCAATATGATGTTCCCAACAACTTTAACTAGAAACTGGAAGCAGAATAAATAATGAATGACTAATAAAATAGTAGTAAGTTTAAGTTGATGAAAAATAAATAGATGATTTTCAAAGCTATGTAACATAAGCAGATAGTTTGATATATCTGGTAACAGTAAATTGTGAAATTGCATATATGTGATAAAGTGAATGCCCACACACAAGATGCAAACAGACTTTACATTAGCACAAAATATGCAAATTTTCCCCTTCATTTTCACAGTTTTTATAATATTTTTGACTAACAATAGTAACAAAATTAAACATTAAAAATTACAATGAGACCTATGTATATTTTTACGTCTTGTAAGATTTCCTTCTTTTGATTCTATGTACAGTCTTGATTATTCTCACCTAGAATGTGGATAATACATGCTTTGCTTATAATATATATATATTTAAAATATATATATGTATAATTTTAAGTAGATCTTTTCAGAGTTTAAACACAATTCCATTGTATTCTTTTAATTTGTTTTGGAATAAGAAGACCATTACAATATAGTGATAGAATCAAATCAAATAAGACTTTAAAAATGGTTGCTTTTATAATTTTACATGTATTTGTTTATGAATTTGTTTTTGTGGTACTGGAGATTGAACTCAGGCATTTTGCACAGATATACTTTCTTTTCTTTTCCTTTCTTTCTTTCTTTCTTTCTTGCTTGCTTGCTTGCTTTCTTTCTCTCAACAATAAACAGGTTGCCCGGGCTGGGCTCAGACTTTTGGTCCTTCTGCCTTGGCCTCCCAAAGAGCATGTGCCTGTAAATGGTGAGAAGATGTCCAGTAATTCAAGTTTCAACATTTCAGAGGAAAGGAATCTTAGTAACTCTCAAAGCAGTGTACTTAATTTGTAAATTGTCATTCATGAACTCTCTGTGTGTGGAGCTAATCTCTGCTTAGGGTACACAATCTCTGATAGCAGCAAGACTGAACGTGGGGAGACCAGTTAGGAGGCTTTCTTGTTAGGGCAGGTGGGACATAATAAGGGCCAACCTATGCCACCATCAAAAGAGGGAAAAAAACAAATTTTAAACATATTTAGGAAACAGGTCAACTAGACCTAATGACTAGCTCCAGCCCATTTGCAAGAGGAAAGGACTTTAGTCCATCTATTAGTAAGAGTAAAGAACTGCATTATTTATATGCATTATTTATTATGCATTATTTAATAATGTGTAAAATACTTATAAAAATTGTATTTTGTTCCAGGGCAGTAGAATATAGCAAGCATAATTATCTTTATTCTGTAGCTGAAGAAATACAGGTCCAGAGATTGACTAAGTCACCATAGATCAATGGGTGAATAAATGCTGCCCCCCTAATCTGGTTGTCAGACCCTGAGCTACACAAAACTACAGGAAACAATGTCTGATGCACGTTTGTATAACAAACCTCGCTTACCTACTAATCTGGAACCAATATCCTAAACACAGGGCACACATAAAATTGGAAAGAGTGAAACTCAAGTCAGGTTTGTGTGCATTTGAAAAAAAGTAAAGCTGTCCACTTGAACTTGAGAAAGATCACTCTGGATATAGTTCTTGTCACTAACCAATAGAGGAAGACATTCTCTGACTCCCCCCACCACTCCCCAACAGCGGGGGTGACATGAGCAACTTGGAATCCCCCCCTTCTTTCACCAGGGCCCCACGAATAAGTTCAGGTCTAATGACGGCATTGTCACTTTGAGGTTGTATTGAAAACTCTTCTTCTTTGTTAGCACCAAGAATCAGGTCTGGGGGAAAATCTACAAGTACTGTAATTAACTTCAATTTTAATTTCTGGGTGTCTTTTTACCTCCTCCTGCTGCCAGGGCTCCCCTTCAGTCTCATCAGTTAGAAGAGCAGTGTTCTCTAAGCTCAGGCCAGACACCCCTCGGCAGCTTTACGTGGTTTCAGGGCAGTGTGCTCAAGTGCTTCTGGGAAACCTGAATCCAAACTAAAACTTGGTTTGATTGCTGAAAAAAGAGTTTCCAGCTACAAGAAGCCTGCAATGTTTCTTAACATGGGGAAAACTTCTGAGAGTTGGGGTTGCAGTATTTCTTGATTTTCAAGTTGTTTTGGAACTTCAGTTATTTTCTTTAGGGTTTGTTTATGTTTTATTCAGCCCCCCCCCACTTTGCTGCCAATATGTCTCTCTTTTATATGTCTTCATGCATAGCTGTATGCATATTCATTCTATGTGACAAACGAAAGCACTCTAAATCCCAGAAAATGTATTCTAACCTGGCTCAGTGTTATTTACATTAAGGTCTTTACTTCTTCTAATTTATTTTGTATAGAAGTCATATTTTATAGTATCCATATGATTGTCCATATATTAATAGTGGACCAGCTGGAACGAATGGATTATATTTTTATATAATCTATTGGAGGCATCTGCATCAAGAATAATGGTGCCTATCACACATGACTTGTTGGGAAAGGAGAGGATGAGGATCAGGTTGGCTGATGAAAGGCTGACAGAGTCTGCTCTATCCTGAGATTACTGAGGAGCATTGCGCGTGGTGGATGGGGTGTCCTATCACCTGGTTCGTCTTCAGGACACTCACAAAC